ATCGTGTTCAAATCTAACCATCTGATCGCGTTTGAGAGGGAACAGATCTGGGCGTCGTGCGCGCAGGAACAGATCTGAGTCGTTTGATCGCGGGCATGCGACTCGTCTGCGTGGCACCGTGTCTGATTCGTCGGGGCTGCTGACTAGGCATCTACGTGGCGAAACTTCTCAAAATTATATTTTGACCCTCAGTTTTTGATTTTTCTTTCAAAAATACTCCTAGAATCCAAATTTTCATCCATTTCCCCCAAAATTATTTTTAATTTAATCCTCTATCAATTTTACTTCATTTTTACTCTAAATTAAAATTAAAAAATTTAAAAATTAAGAAATTGTATTTATAATTAAATCCTAAATTATATTAAAAATTAATTTAGAGTATTACAACTCTCTCTCCTTAAAAGAAATTTGGTCTCTCAAATTTGTCTCTCTCACTCTCAATCAAATAACTAGGGATATTTGGCTCTGAAGTCTGATTCTAACTCGCATGTGGTCTCTCTCGATGTGTAATTCTGTCATAAGACCTTAACAAAGGAAATTTCCTGGTTGTGAAGTAATCTGCTCTTTCGGTTCACAATGCTGACCGGTACTTCTTCGTAGGACAAATCCATCCTCCTCAAGTAAAAGAGACTCGTGAGCCAAGACGTGAGAGGGGTATGGGTTGTACTTGCGTAGTATGGACACATGAAACACATTATGGACCCTGTAAAATTCTAGAGATAGTGCCAGTCTGTAGGCGACAGTACCAATTCTGTCTAAGATTTCAAATGGTCCGATAAATCGGGAATTCAGTTTCTCCCTCTTGTCGAACCTGCTAATTCTCTTAAAAGGAATGACTTTAAAGAACGCCCGATCGCCTTTCTCAAATTCTAAGTCCCTCCTCCGGGTGTCTGCATAACTGTTCTACCTGCTTTGAGCCGTCTGAATGTTCTTCCTGATCTTAACTATTTTGGTTGTAGTCTCCTCTACGAGATCTGGGCCGAATAGTTTTCTATCACCCACTTCTTTTTAACATATCGGCAATCTGCATGGGGGACCATACAACGCCTCATACGGAGCCATGCCAATACTTGCCTGGTAGCTGTTGTTGTAGGCGAGTTTTATCAGGGGTAGATGGTCATTCCAATGGCATATGAAGTCAAGAACACAAATTCGGAGCATATCCTCAGTATGCGGATTGTCTTTTTTGACTACCCATCGGTCTGAGGGTGAAATGCAGTACTAAGGGACAGTTTCGTCCCCATGGCTTGCTGAAGGCTAGATCAAAATCGAGAAATGAACCTGGGGTCCCTGTCGGACACTACTGTCACTGGCATTTCATATAATCTGACTATTTTTCGGATATATATTCTTGCCAATTTGTCAAAGGGATCGGTCATTCTGATGGCCAAGAAGTGAGAGGACTTAGTAAGTCAGTCCACAATTACCCAAATAGCATCATGTCCTAAGCGTGTCTTAGGTAATCCTGTAAAGTACCTGTTAATTCTACGTGAATCTGCAGAAGCCCCCTTGACTCTCTTTCTATAAAAAAAGCTTTTTGCATCATCAGCGGCGTTGGTGCAGGTTTTTATTCCTTCTGTCTAGCTCCCCGAAAACAATGTTCGACTGCAAT